TCTAATGAACTAACATACTAATCCAGCGCCTAGTGACAATTCCCTTTTTTGTTTCACAGAAAGTCCATACCTACGAAGGACCAAACACGAAGAAAAACTATAACAATTTTTATGGGAAATAAGAGACCCTAAAAGTTTTAGGGGATCACCAGAAGACCCATAAGGGCCCCACAAGGCAGGGGGTGCCCCGCCGGATAGGGCATGCCACCCCGGCTTGTGACCCCCCTTGGCTCCGTTAACCCTAATCTTTGGCCTATGAATTTACAATTATTCGGAAACCCTCGAAGCGAGACCCGATACAATTTTTCCCGCCACCGCAAGCCTCTGTTCATAAGCGATCTCATCTAGAGCCCTTTTCGGCACCCTGTCGGAGGGGGAAGACACCACGGGAGGTCTCTTCATGAACCTTGTTGCCTACATGGTGATATGTGAGTAGTTCATCCTCGGGTTGAGGGTTTGTACTAGTAGATATGTGTTTGATCTCTCTCTCTCTCTCCCCCCATGTCCTTGATGGATTCCAATCTTGATGTATCATGAGCTTTCTTAATAAAGTTGAATCACATGATGTTCACCTCACTCTCTTATTTTCGTGGTGAATTGAGTCCTAATCTTTGAAGTTTCGTATGTTTGATTGAATACTTTGGATTTGATATCACTTGATGCATGTCTCAACTTGCGGATACCCATGATGACATTGGGGTATTTGATGGCCTGCAACACAGGGTTTAGTTGTCGACTTTCCTAAGTAAGAGTATCGATCCCAGAAGGAGCACAAGAATCAGACTTTTGCCTCTTGTATTGAATTATGTATTTATATGCCTACAGATAATTGTAGACTCAAAGCAAAAAACGAGGGCGGAAATAAATCATGATTGAGTACTGGAACAAACTCTTAAGTAAATAACATAAAAGTAAATAAAGAATAAATATTAGAGTGACTAATGGAGAAGCAGAGGAGTAAGGTGTTCTCAGGAAGTTTGGAATCCCCATTGTATGTTTCTAGCACACCTATGTATAGTCATAGTATGGAGTGGTACTTGGAGTGCGAATTTTCAGCGGCCGCGCACCAGGCAGGCCGCTATCCTCGTCGTTCTTTTGGGCCTTGGGATGTGCACTCGGTCAGTGGGTGGTAGGCCTAGCGAAAGGAATACGACCCGGGATACGCCTAGGGAAAAGTTAGGCGTATTCTGTGCGGCCCATTGCTCGGAAATTGTCCCCCACACGCTGGCTGCTTGGACAGCGATTAGGCCCATGACCATTGTTTGAAATAGCACAGAATCCTCGAGGAAAAAATAGGGAATCTCTCCAGCACGACCAGAGTTGCGTGGAGTAAACCAGAACCAGCCAACCGGTCTGCTGCTCCAGGGAAAATATCTGGTGCACCGCCGACACCCATCCATCCCCATCTCCATCCATATGGCTCGACCGCGGCGACTGTGCTGCTCCGCCGAGACTTGCTCCATCCCCATCTGCATCTGTTTGGGGCACGGCGGCGGCAGCGCTGCCGTCGTGATATCTACTTGATTGCCGTCTCCATCCGTTTGCCGAACGGGTCTTTCACAGCACAGCAAGATGTCCACCAATGGCGTCGAGCTCGATGGGTATGATTACCATGGTCCCTGCATCATGTTTCTTAATTTTCTGTCGCGTGTTCTTCAGATTTCTTACTAGTTGCCTCCGATTGGATTCATATAGGATGTGTGCTTCGCCCGCGGCATGGAACAACTGCGCCTATCCAGACGAGTCACAGGATTCGATGAGCGTCCTAACCATACCTTTGGCACCGGCGGCGATGCGCAGCTAGTCGGGGATGCAGCGAGGGCCGAGGTGTGTTCTGAAGCAACCAATGGCTGGACACGCATGTCAGTGAAAAATTGCTCTATTTTTGCTCTGCTGCAATTTTTAGTTTGGGTGCCCCTCACATGGTAGATCTAATTTAGGTACATAAGAGTTTAAGAAGTGTGTTGTTTTTGTTGGGTTTGGTTTGATGATCTGATGCTAGCATTAGGTAGCATACTACATAATTTGTTGCAGTTTGTTCGATTTTATTGATGATCTGATCGTAGCATTAGGTAGTAAACTGCAACTGGTTGGGGTTTGTTGGATTTTATTGATGATTTGGTGATAGCATTACGTAGTGAAACACAGATGGCTGGAGCTTGTTGGGTATATTCAGTTGCAGTGACTTATGTTGTGTTCTTGAGATGAAAAGTTAGATTAGGAAGTTTAATACGAATAATGAGGTATTTTATGATGGCATTTGGGTGATGGTCTTAGATTTCTAGTTTGTTTAGAGTACATTGGAGTTTTGTGGGTGTGCATTTTAGATTGGTGTGTGGGCATCGGAGAGTCTGTGCCATCATTGAATTTAGGATGGCTTGTTGGATTAGCAAAGCTTGACCGCGGAGGACTGGAGCTTGTTGGGTATCTTCATTTGCAGTGACTTATATTGTGTTCTTGAGATGAAAAGTTGTATTAGGGAGTTTAATACGGATGTAAGAAAAGCGTTAGTGATAATGAGGTATATTATGATGGCAGAAGGTTGGTGTGTTGGATTTCAAGTTTGCTAATTGGAAACTAGAGTTTTGTGGCTGCGCAATTTAGATTGGTGTATGGGCATTGGGGGATCTGTGCCATGATTGAATTTAGGAGGAATTTTTGTCGCCTGGTGCTATTACTGGTATACAAGGATAGTGTTATTGATTACGATCGATCGATTGGGTGGGTTAGATTTATATAGTTTTGCTGCAAAAACATTTCTTGATATGTCGTTGATCAGCAGCTGTGTTGGATTGTTTGTGATGTGTGTTGAGTATAGTCAATGGCTGGCCGATTGTTTTTACAACACCTTCATGCGAGCAGGTCGCCACAAATTTATGTAAGGGGGGAAGATGCTGTAATTGGTTGTTACGTATCCGGTTAATTATGTAATTGCAAAACGATGGTCTTTAAACTGTATGGTGAGTGTGTGGCAACTGTGAACATGAAAAATCCCGTCTTGCTTTCGGTGTGTGGATGATCTAATGGTTTTCATCCATTTTTTGTCTCTTTTTTTGAGATGATTATCCAGGGTGAGGATCGGGAAAGCCCCGGAGGAAAGGGAGATGAACCCAAATAGGAAATCAGCTCTTGAATTGTCTCTCCGTGCTTATGCGGATAAGAAGGATGGCCCTGTTCTCTGTCCAAGTATTGGAACAAGCTTTGACTCTATTGACGAGGCTTATGAGTTCTACAATCTTTATTCATGGGAATGTGGTTTTGGAGTTAGGCCCGCGAAAAGTAGACTGAGTGTCAGGAAGAGATGCATGCAAGAGATCATGTGTGCGTGTGTGGTATGTAATTCGGAACCCGCACATTTATTATGCTAGAGCCTTATGTTAAGGTGCAATGAGTATGATTTCTGGCATTTGACAAGTTGGATCTGCTTTTTTTGCCCTTTGCAGGGCAAACCAGTCAGGGAGAACAGCCGCTCGTCCAGGTGTGTGGCTGCAACGCCATGATAAGGCTCTTGCGGTCAAATGACAAAGGGTGGTATATTGCAGAACACAAAGATGCGCATAATCACCCGCTGTCTTTGACGTGTGGGTAGAAGCTGCACTGGAAGTCTCATAGACATATAGATAGATACACCAAGGATCTAGTGAAACAGTTGAGAGACAATAATGTGGGGCTTGGAAAGGTGTTCAACATCGTTGGTAGTTTTTTCGGTTCAGTAGATAATGTGCCATTTACAAAGAGGTCATTGAAGACACTATGTAGGAAACTAACAGAGAGTAGTCTGACATGGATGCAGTGAAGAGGATGGAGATTATGTCTGAGATGAAGGCTAATGATCCTGATTTCAATTACACAGTACAAGTGGATGAGGAGAGCCGTATAAAAACACTGATGTGGGTAACAAGCAGAGGTTTTGATCAGTACAGGTGCTTCGGAGATGCAATAACTTTTGATACAACATACCGTACCAATCTATATGATATGCCTTTCGGTCTTTTTGTTGGAGTTAACAATCACTTTCAAAGCATAATTTTTGGTGGCGCAATGATGAGGGATGAGAAAGAGGACACATTCAAGTGGATATTCAGGGAGTTCATCCGCATGGTTGGCGGGAAACACCCGCAGACGATTCTTACTAGTTAGTAACAAATGAACTGTGCTGCTCTTGACTTGTTGCATATTGTTGACAAAAAATATAGATGTGTTGAGCGTAATGTGTGATTAAAATGTAATGCAGATCAGGCGCGCGCTATGGAGCTGGCTATTGAGGTAGAACTACCAAACACAGTACACCGTTGGTGTAAGTGGCACGTTTTGAAGAAGGCGAAGGAGTCGATGGGTGTGCTCTGGAGCAAGAACAGTAATTTTAAGATGGAGTTCCACAAGCTTGTACATCACATGATCACAGAGGAAGAATTTGGAGCTGGTTGGCAGGACATGTTGGAAAAGTACAACTTGAGGAAGCATCCATTCCTGACGCAAATATATGAGGTGCAGCATAAGTGGGCAAAGCCATATTTCAGAGGCGTGTTTTGTGCAAAGATGAATAGCACACAACGAAGTGAAAGTGCTAACCATCTGCTGAAGGGTTATGTTCCACCGGGGTGCCCTATGCATCTTTTCTTGAAACAATTCGAAAAGCTTCAGTTTGACAGGGAGTCAGAAGAGAGCTTCCAAGAGAAGAGTACATTGCTAGTAAGTTTTCAGCTGAGAAAAACTGTCCTAGAATGGTTTCGCGTTAACCTTGTTTATACTGACTTCGTGTGCTCTTGTGTGTTCTGTTTATTTGTAGAGTGGTGTCTCGCTTCGACTGAACCTGCCAATAGAGAGGCATGCTAGCAAGGTGTACACCCGAGCCATGTTTGAGAAATTTGATGAAGAACTATATAAATGTGGCACACATGTATTGGATGAGATTGTGCCGAGAAAGATTTATAAATCAACCCATATAGATGCGGCGGCAAGAGAAAAATGGAGTAAGGTAGAGTTCAAGATCGAAGTGAATGATGATGAGAGTTTTTTTAGTTGCGAATGTGGCACATTTGAACACTCTGGCTTGGTGTGTTGCCATGCATTGCAGGCGAGGGTTGTTTTTGCTTGCTCTCCTCTGGCCGTAGTTATGAGTCATTTGCTGCATAATGAAAACAATTCACTGGTTTCAATGTAGGTTATGGTGTTCTTCCGTCTATCGAAGATACCCGAGAAACATATAATGAAACGATGGACAAGAGATGCACGTGATGTTCTCCCTGCATATTTGGTACGGTACCAAAGAGACAGAGGCCCTCCTTCTAGTGACACATTCAGGCATCACACAATGTACATGAAGGCCCTTGAATGTGTGTTGCTTGGTGATAGTAATGTTAAGTGCTATGATGTTTTCATGGCTATGATGAAGGAGGTGCAAGCCGCTCTGGTGCCGTTAAGCAGTGATAAGGATGGCATGGGACTAGCAGAAAGGGAACAACAAAATCAGCTGCTTGTTCAGAACGAGCAAGAGACACTTGAGTTGCAAGGCTGTGCGACAAGGTCTCAGTGTGATGGTGAATCAAGTTGTTCAGTGATTGTAGGACAACAGAAAAAATGGCCGAGGGGTAGACCTACAACAAGCCGTGACAAAGCTATGTATGAAGAACATTTGAAGAGATTGCGGTTCTGCACGATCTGCAAGAGTCAGGGCCACAAATGCACAACTTGCCCAGAGAGAGGCGATGTGCCCAAGGCGCCAAGGAAATTGCCAAAGTGTTCAAATTGTGGTGTGCTTGGACACAAGCGTAATGCTTGTGGCACCAAGAAATCTGGACCGTTCGAGCCTAATTTTCTGTAAGCGAGACTGCTGCACGCTGTGCCTTCATTTTCATCTTCGCCAGGACCAAGGACTGCATACGAATTTGTCATCTAAACACGCGCATTTCATACTTAATGTTGGCGGTGATGTAATTTTTTTCTGTAGGCTGCAAATCTTAGCTTTGCGTGTGTGATAGCTTGCTGTTGCTGATGTTGTGATTTGTAGAGAAAACTGCAATCTTTGGGATATCATTTTTATTTGGGTGTGCTTAATTGAGTTGGTAATCGCAAGTCTCTTTCAGAACCGTTGTTTTGGGTCGAAGGCATATGCTTGGCAAAAACTGGGGAGATGGACCTTGGCCTCCGTGTGTGCGTGTGGTTAATAGTGACGTGACAGAGCCAAGAGACGAGCGATGACCAAAGCCGAAATGACAGAGGCACGAGGCTAGTTTTTCCTAGGACGTTTGATTATAGCATGGGCGCATGGTGAGCATGCCTAGTCTGCGGACACAGGTGTGCCTGTCGCATGGCACATGCATTCAATGCCTGCTCGCATGTCTCTCGTTTGGGCATGTCGTGCATGTGGCTGACTACAAGAACAAGCATGTCATGCATCTTGACGAATGAGGCATCGGCTGGTGTGCTTGTTCAGTGTGATGGTAACCATCAAGATGATACATCACTGCTCATTGATCAATTCGACGTTTAAAATGCGAGTTTCGAGAAAAAATTAGCAAAAAAACCCTGCACAAGTTCATCTTGGCGGGGATTTTCCTGATAGTTGATTGGCAAGTGCCTCGGCTAATTGTGTCATGGGCAATGCATAGCCATGCTCGACCGACGCGTGCTGTTGGCTGCATGAAGTGACAGGTGATGGAAGCGCTGCTACCAAGATTTCTTCACACTGGACATGATGATGCTGCTTTTGCGGAGCGCAGGGCATGGCAGTTGGCTGACAAGATGTATGCACAGGTCCAACGCGCCGTCCATGTGTTCCCGTTTTAATACGCACAGATAGCCATGGCCGGAGGGGTGGAGAAAGCCTGGTGGCTAGGCGTCGCGTGTGTGTTCCTCATCCACAAAATTCAAATTTGAACTCCACCCCCATGTGCCCCTGCTTGTTTGAATTTTGAACTTGGTTGCTCTGGAGGGAAACCAAAAAATTTCGCTCTGTATATATACAGGTGGCGCGGAGTAGCGAAAATCCATCAAAACCAGTCGAAGATGGCGCCCAACAGCACGGTTTCCCCAGCTTCAGTGCTGACCGAAGCGTCCAGCTCCACACTGACACTAGGCGGTGTGCAGGTTAGTATTTGTAGTTAGGAACTAACCATGGCAAGCAACCGATCTTGTGCAATGCACTTACAAAATTGTCTTCCATGGTCAGGTGCTTAGTGATGGTGTAGGTTTGGATGGTCTCGTTTTCCCTGATCCGTTGTCTGTTGTTGACAGCCTTGCTGACGAGGTCTCCGATCTTTACCAAGTTTTGATTTGTTTTTCATCAGAGCGCCTTGTCTGACTACAAGTTAACATGAATAATCGTTGCGTAGGCTAGTGTAATGGCACAAGGACCGGTGATCGACACGGAGATTGCCTTAGGTGCACCGGCAGTCGCTACTGTGAGTTTTTCCCGGTTTTTGAACTGCCATTATGAAAGTTCTTGCATGTGATCTAATTTATGGTGGTCATTTTTTTGTTTGCAGGTTGATCATGCCGTGGACGTCCCTGATTGGTGGTTGGAGAAGAGACATCAGATTTTGACCCTTGCGCTATACCTGCAAGTGCGGTTGATGCATGCGAGCTGTTGGAGGGGGACCAAATGTCGGTGACAGGTGCTAGTGAAGATGGGAGCGAAGAAGATGATGCAGAGAGCCCTCCATGCAAGCGTGCTAGAATATGAAAATTCCACAATAACATGTATTAGGTTAATGCATGCACATGCTTGTAGCTGCTTGTACTGCTTTTGCTGATATGTAAGCGGAGTCTCTCTAAATAATGGAAGTATTTGGCACGTGCATTTTTCCGTGTTTCGAGTGAATTACCTGGCCGTTCGATAGAAAGATGTCGTTGATTAACCCTTTTTTAATTATTATTATTTTTTGTTGCAAAAAATTGCTTCATGCAAAAAAACAAATATTTCTGTGTTCTGTATTCTAATAAGATTTACCTTTTTTGCTTGATTAGTTAATTTAAGCGGGGCTGGGAGCTTAGTTGAATCACACTAGAGCAAGAGTGTGGTGCCTCCAGACGGCATACGTGGCCCACTTTCTAGCCACTTGGTCAGGGTGTGGACGTGAGCACAGGGGCACTAGTACCGGCGCATGTGTATAGAAACAGCTCCCTGGACCGGAGCCTCCCAGCACAAAGAACAAGCACAACTGTATCTGGGGCTTGGGGAGAACGAGAGAAGCAAAAGGTATGTGCTAGTGCTTCCATGGCCTCTCGGTTTTCTTCTTCCTTCGGATGTTCCAATTCCTCGAGTTCTCACTTGCTCCTCTTCTTCTCTGGTGTGCCATTGTGCAGATCACTGTTCCAGATGGGCCGGAGGTCCAAGCTGTCCTCGCCAGCAGCTGCGATAGATGGAGCTTCTTCCTCAACTATGGTGCCCGTGAAGAAGGTGCCCGCACTCAACACGGCGTACAATTCGGGGATGCTGCATTCCATCGCCGGAGACTGGAATCCAAACATCAAAGGTGTGTTTTCCGGGATAGGCATGGAGGAGCTGTGCAAGATCAAGGACATGGGCAACAATAACCGTATCTTTAGCATGTCCATGTTAGCTAGGATAGATCCTAAAGATATGGAGATGTATATGGGCGATGGGAATCATGTTGTTGTCAATTATAGGGAGGTGGCGAAATGTTTAGGGTTGTCGCCGTGTGGTAGGAAGATAGATATCCCGGGCGGGGCTTACTTAGCGAACAGGGAAGGCTTGCTAGAGAACTTGCATGCCATCTTAGACACCACCATGTCTAGGGCAAGTAGGATCCCTGTCGTCAAAGTGAAGAAAATCATACAAAACGCAAGCAAGGTAGCGATTGTAGGAGCAGAAAAGGAGAAGATGATAGTGGCATGTACAATCATAGCCGCTTCAACATTTCTCCTGCCTAGGGGAGCACACCCCAAAATTGCCAATGAAATCCTTCCGGTCCTAGCTGAGCCGACCCAAATCTCCGATTACGATTTCTGTGATTATGTTGTGGAGGGGTTGAGCGAGGGTGCTGCCAAGCTTAGGGAGGATCTCCTGCATGACCCATCTCAGCTGAGTCTCCAAGGGTGCCTTGTCATCCCTCAGGTTAGCAAAGTGCTACCGGTTCAATATTTGCAAAAAAATTTGGGTGTTTTCTCACGCATTTGCTCTCTGTTTTGCCTATAAAATGTAGATCATTTTCTATGATTACCATGAACACGGGATGGAGGGACGAGAGACCCTGCCGTTCCCTCGCTTGGCCTCGTACTGGGATCTGATGATGAAACTGCAGATTCGCAAGCATGCAGCAAGGCATGGTGTGGACGCTGGATTTGAGGTACATTTCTCGCCTTAAATGAGGCCTCAATAAATACAGTGTGGTTGCTAAGATTCACTTTGATTGTTCCCTGCAGGCAGTGGATGTCCCCAGGTCGCCGGTAATCAATGCCGTTTGTGGGAGCGCAACTCAAGAACATGGCTGGGCCACGCCAAGTTCTAGTGTGCATGCTCCTCCTACTGGATTTCGTGTGGACCATGCGACAGAGATACCACGAGAGGCTAGTTATTGAAATTTGTTCGCTTGTGAGACTAGATGCAAGTTTGTCCTGTTGCATTAACTAATTTAGTTGTCTTCTTCTTGCTATCTCCTGTCCCAGATTCTTGATGCGTTCAAGGAGGCAGTGGAGCATCAACTGAAGCAGCGTGAGCAGGAATTCATGAAGATGGTAGAGGAGACACAAGTCAAAGTGCTTGTAGAAATCAAGAGCAAGGCAGATGCTAAACGGCACACAGACCCGGAGGACACGCTTGGCGATTTCATGGATCGAGTGAAGAGGCAAGCTCCGATGGCTGCCGCATTTCCTAATGTGAGCCAAACCTCGCATCGGCCCAGGGCAAGTACAGGTAATCTATGTCACAGATCCAAGGATGAAAAAAAATAGTTTATGCTGGTATGGTAATGAGTTGTTGTCGCTTGGAGGTGCTAAGCCACTTCCTGTTTACGTGCGCTTGCATGAAAACGGGCCATGCATGCATGCATGGTGGGCCATGCGCCCCTGCCGTGCTTGGGAAATAGAACAGCGGTCGTGGGCGCATTGATTTCTCGTTAATTAATGATATGACGGTAATTAGCGTGGTGGACTCATTTTTTTGTTTCTCTGTTAGATATTACGCAAGATCTGGCTGAAACCTCAAGGGAAGCTGCTAGGGCTTTGATGTCAGTAGTTGTAGTTAATGAAGAGCCACGTGGCAACCCAGGTACGTTGTAGGTCATTACATTGAAAAAAGCCATTGACTAAATTAGTTTAGCGTTGGTACTAAACAATTTATATGTGTGCTTTTTTGTATATGTTTATTAGAGACGAGTGCGGTGGCGGGTGCATCAACGCGTGTGCAAGAAACTGACATCAACTCACAAGCTGCAGTGCATGTAAGTGCATATGGGAAAGGTAATAACCTTGACTAGTATTTTTTAACCGAGTTTGTTTCTTGTAAGTGCGATTTTGATTGGCCGGTGTGATTTTGGTACACTAAATGGAGTTTGTGCTATTTTGTTTTGCAGATGTTGCTGTGCAGGCTGGTGTTGATGAACCAATGGAGAAGACTATGATCGTGGACCACAAATGAAAGGGGATGGCTGTAGACTGTAAGTGACGCCATTATTTTCATGTTTTGAATAATGCATCTGCAAGTTGCATGAGCTCACTTGTTCACTGATACGTCTCCGTCGTATCTACTTTTTCAAACATTTTTGTCCTTGTTTTGGACTCTAACTTGTATGATTTGAATGGAACTAATCCGGACTGACGCTGTTTTCAGCAGAATTGCCATGATATAGTTTTATGTGCAGA